TTACCATCTACAGACAAATCAAGTGGCAAGAGGTGCAGGCCTGTGTAAATGCCATCACCAAAGATGTTTCTGGAGAAAGTGATACAGAGGCGGATTGGAATGCTGAAACTTCCTTCAATGACGATGACGCTTCCTTCACCGAACCCGAGGTCGACAGCTCATACAGTGAGGACGACGAAGACGAGGAAGACCTCTACACCAACGACAGCAGCTACGATATGACGACTCTCAGTCGAGCTTTGTCTGTAGACGACTGTGCACTTCATAGACACGCTTAAGGGAAATCACAAGTTCCTGGCCACATCAGCTAGTGCTACAGTAACTTTGTTATTGTTCTTGTTCAGAAATGTTGTGCAAAGAACATCCTGTTATATTGTAACCATAATTGCTTGTTGATGGTTATGTTGATGAAATAAAATAATGAAGTCGATATTATAATCTTTGTCATTTGCTGACACGTTCACGACATCTTGAGGACAGACATTAGTATAGAAAGCTCTTTTGATACTAAGAGAGAAACGATTCATTCAAGATGGCATCTCACAGTTTCACGCCTTTCGTCATTTTGCGCGGGTTCTGACGGTGTCATGCCCAATAATCTATTCTGTCCAATAAATGTAGCTAAAAGCCATGGATAATAACCAACTAAAATGAAACACATTTAGATATTGACGATGGGATTTCCATCTTACACAACTCCGGCTACGCCACAGCATAACATTTTCAACCGTTGTCATTCCTTTGACCATATAAATGACGATGACATATCATAATGATTGAAGAAAAACACCCAAAACACTCTATCTCTCATACCGTATGTTTCGTAATGTCATACTTTCAACTGTACTCTATCCTTTGGAAATGAACATGCCCCCCAGTGCTTGGGCTGAACCCAGGAGGTTAATAACTGTTAATGCATACAGCATGCAATGCAAAAGAAAACTGAATCTTTCAAATTGGCATCAGCACAAGTCAAAAGTATTTCAAGAAAAAGCACTCGGTGTACAACATTCCCCTGAAGAAACAGAACACGAAAGATCGGAACATCCTTACACAAGACAGTGGTCATCATTGAAATGGGCTCAGTTAGCAAGCTGGTCCCATCTGTACAATGCCCTTTTACATTATTGTGTATTCAAAGTAACATTTACACATGATAGAGTTGTATTACGTTGTCCTGTGCAACTCTCCAACAGAATTGCCACATATGTATTCAAGATGTATTTTCTACCCAATCTAACACACATGAACTGTCTTCAAACTATATATACACATCTTTATATGGTAAGGTTTCAAACAATCTGACGTTCACCAAGTATTGTTTCAGATGGACAATATCCACATACAAAAGTCTCAGATCATTCGTGCAATATTTCTATGATGTAAGAAGAGATAGAGAAATGGTGAGGTTAACAAATAAGGTGCTACGTCAAAGAAATGCAGACAATACAGTCCATACTTTGACTTGGCCTACTTTAACGGGGATTTTCTGTTATTGTGCAACTGGTTTTGTCGTTCCTATTTATTACAAATAGAGATTACGTCAAGCATAAGACGTTTTCTGTTGCTATGGTTTTCAGCGGCCTTCTCCCTCTACCAACAAAAGCCAATGCATTAGAAGTAAGACGACGAAGGGCACCGTTAGATTAATCCCGACTTTATCAAGAAACGCTGATTGATATTCCCCGAGATAACGAGATTGGATTGGTTGAACTTTCCTCAGACCTCCCTTTACTACAAATTAAGCTTGTTTTGACAAGCACATGATTGGTGCTTCAAAGTGGACAATGAGATCCCATTTCGATCAAAGCCCAATGAAGTTGCAGTATAGCTTTGATCTCGCCACTGGCTTCCAAAACGCTCTCTTTGATGTATAAATCCCCACTTGTTTGTACTGAGGGCCAGTATAAAGGTTTCCCAGAGACCGATGTACTTCACTCCATCTCAGCCTGCAGGACCGATCACACCCTCTTTCAATTATCAGAGCGTCACTGACTTCCTACAGTATTAGCTATAGGCCCGATATCAGTCCAGAATTGTGTAGATAAGCCCTAGAAAATGGATCCAGTTCAAGTTGCCATCAAGCTGAGAGGTCTCCTTGTTGCCCATGACAATGCAGTGAAAGAGATCCTGACATTAGGTAAATATCAACAGTTCTTATCTGCCTGTAAAATGCCAATATTTAGTACTCTGACCTTCAAAATTGAAAACCTCATGACTTTATTTTGATCATCTCTACCAAGACTTCTAATTACCCCGTTTTACTTTTTCAGACATGCAGGTGTACAAGCTGATGCAAAAGATGACGGCCAACTCCTCCAACAACTGTATAATTCGAGGTGAACAGCTGATCCAGAGACCATTTATATTTAATTTATGTGTGGTTCCGTTTTGTGGATAGCATTCTGTATTGACAGGTGTTATGATTCCAAGGTTGACATTCAAGTTAGTGTTCTAAGGTGTAACATTGCATGGTAGATATACATTGCAAGATTCTCAATTTGGGCATAATCGTTTGTTCTCTTGGGGATACTAAACTTCCATTTAGAAAATATATAAGCATAATTTGTGGGAATTTAATTTTCAGGTAACTGACTATAAGAAGGGCATATTAAGAGAATGTGATAGCCTTATCGTCTTCCACATATCCTTTGTGGCATACACAACACAGTGTTTTATTCATTTCAGTATTGATATACCTTCCGGTCTCAATACTTAATTGATGTGAGAAACATCGAAATTGGGAGAGCACAACCCAATATATTTATAAATACTTAAATAAGGTATAGCTCTGTACCAAAGGAGACTTTAAAAAGGAGTAGGGTAATATATAGAGAATACTACACGAGGTCTCATTACATACGAATTATACGAAACGAGTGTCCTTCCTATGGTATCCAATCTCAGAAGGATAATAGTTCTGGTGGTTGCTCTCTGCCCTATCAGATAACATAGGAAGGTCACGAGTTTCGTATAATTCGTATGTAATGAGACCTCGTGCGGTATTTTATTTATTACCCACGTCTTACATGCATTAAATTGACAAAATAGCGTATTTTTGTTAATAATATTTTGGTTTCAAACCGAAACCGGTTTCATAAAGAGGTTGCGGAAGAGTTTTGTACTGTAGTACAATATTTGCATGACGTCACTGTAATGACGTCACCTCCTTGGTAACCGACGTCACGATGCATGTCAACGTATGGGTAGTTGCATACTAATCTCGTACGTCACACGAGTGTCGTATCGCGTTGACCTGTGTCGTAACGACTTGACCTGAGATTCTAACGAGTTGATTGGATTATACGATGACCTCTCAATTAGGTCACGTTGTGACGGAACTACTTTTTCATTAATAACAAACACGCGAATTGATTCATTCTACAACTTACTAGTATATGCATTGTCGGAATGTAAACATTGCGAACGTTGCCGTATCGCTGTTTAATTGTGAGTCGAACTGAGACATTATATCCGTCGAAAAACATAAACGCAATGTTTCCACCAGTGATGTTAGCCGAAAGAAGCAACTGGAAACCAAGAAACGGGGTGCTACGGAGTAGTTTACTGTAGGAGGCTGTACGAGGCGATGACAACTGACATGCATCGTGACGTCGATTACCAAGGCAGTGACGTCATTACAGTGTGACGTCATGCAAATATTATAGTAGGGTATGTTAATTTTCCATTTGTAAACCACTGCTTTAGGGTACATGTACATGGCACCAGGTGAATGTAAGTGTGTGTGTACTATTTACCGGTGGCAGCAAATGAGTGAAGCACCAGTGGGTGCTGTTGACAGCAGTGCGTGACAGAAGTTACCCACCTTTGTAAACAGTATTAACGTAAACATGTCTGAAGCGATGATGGTGAATTCATTTTTTTGCAGTTGCAAACCGGTGTATTAGGATTTCTAATTTATTAACACACTGACCAATGGAATTTTAAGTAGTTTACAAATTATGTGATTTAAAAATTAACTGCTTGTTTGAGGATCAGACAATCCAGTGACTGACATGCAATTTATTCCTCTGGACTAGAATACAATAGTGATATAACAAGCAAGATACTAGTGGTGAGTGGGTGAGTTGGGTTTTACACCACTTTTAATAATATTCCAGCAATATGCAGTAGGGACACCAGAAATGGCCTTGCGACAACCATGTGGTATTGAACCAACTGACGAGCGAGGCAGCTTTTATACTAGGCTACCCCACGCAGCGAAGCCTTTAACCTCATCACCCAGTTAAGTTATTGTGAATTTTGATATTAATAATCAAAATACAATACGCCAAAATGTGAGTCAATGTGGAATCGATTATAAACTTTTGCTTAAGATGCTGATACTCAAACCAGTCATGGTGTGAGTACTTGAAACTGATTACAAAGAGGAAATGTGTTTGTTCAAACACAAAAATAAAAAATACTGAAAATAGTTCAGTCATGGGTGACCAATAAATGGTGGAATAAAAACTTCCTAAACAGACAATATAAAATAGAAGGTGATATTACTGAATTTGTTCATGAAAACCTGGACATTATGTCAAAACCTGAGTTAGAATTGTTCTTCAGCAACCCATCCTTGTAGTAAGGGGAAATCTGGCCCCGATTTCTCGAAACAAACTTAAGTCTGAGTTTCGACTTAAGTTAGAGTTTTAACTTGAATTTGAGAAAATGCATTTCCCAGAATGAACTAAAATCGATATTAAACTCAAACATAGTAGACAATTTGAGTTTGGTGGATAGTTTTGGCTTTTTTATTTTAAAAAATGCAGTTGAGTTCATCTGTTTCAAATTGTCCAACTCAGTTTGAAATTTGAGTAAAAACTTAAGTTTGTTTCCAGAAATCGGGCCAGATTGTCTGGGTCGGTATGACCCTATCTAACAGAAGGTACATGTAAATGTAGACAAATGTTCATGATGGCAATCACAGGATTGTCTGGCCTACACTGGAATATTGCAGCTTAAAGGAACAAACATGATCTTACAAAAAATATATATTTTACAGGTGCCTCTCTATCCTTTGATCCTTGGGTTATGTTGTGCACTACCCTTAACTACCGTCTTGGTGCAAATATGCACATAAGCATGCATACACATGCACGCACAAACTACAGGATAAGACAAACATAAGCTATGTTAACAACTCAAGTCTTAAAAGCATCTATGCCATATAAATATCACAATTTCAACTTCAAGAATATGTAGTTGCAGATGTAGCTGAATAAATACAAGTAAAACATAACTGTATTTGAATCAGACAATCCAGTGACTGACATGCAATTTATTCCTCTGGACTAGAATACAATGAAATATAACAAGCAAAGTCACTAGTGAGTGAGTGAGTGAGTTGGGTTTTACACCACTTTTAGCAATATTCCAGCAATATCACGGTGGGGGACACCAGAAATGGCCTTCACACATTGTAACCATGTGGGTATTCGAACCCGGCTTGACGAGCGAACGCTTTAACCACTAGGCTACCCCACCGCCCCAGCAAGTAACTAAGCCTCATCACCCAGTTAAGTTATTATTAATTTTGATAATAATCAAAATACAATACTGTAAAATGTAGCAGGTCAATGTAAAATCTGATTATAAACTTTTGCTTAAAGATGCTGATACCTCAAACCAGTCATGGTGTGAGTATAAAACTGATTACAAAAGGAAATGTGTTTGTTCAAACACTAATAAAAAATACTGAAAATAATTAGTCATGGGTAGGCCAATAAATAGTGGAATAAAAACTTCACACTACTCTAAAAATGTAAAGGAAAACAAATTGCATCATTTGACTGAAGTTAATCTGTCATGGAAATAGATTTGTAGTCACATGAAAAAAATGTCCTTTTGAGAAGTATATCTTACCTACCCCAACTGAAAACACAAACACCTAGTCCAGCACTGGTCCTGAATTGTAGTTATCTCACATGAAATATCCAATTATTCAACAAACACATTAAAAAAACATAAAATACTTCTGTAAATTGACTTATTATCCCTCTAGCACCTCTGCAACAATACTGTTGGCCAACATGATGCACAATCTGTCAAAGACTAAAATTCAAAAGATGACCTAAAAGTAAAAATATTTTCAAAAACATACTTGATAACGCTACAAATCATGACTGGTGTAGAATGATCCAAGATTCCAAGTCAAATGTATTCATGGTTGTGCTTCCTATTAAACAGGCAGAGAATGAGGGATTTAGGATTTACATACTTTTACAATGTACAAATACATTTATTCTTAAACAGAAATGACAGAATGTACTTACATAGACAGAAAAATCCAACTGTCAATATTTCTAAGAAAGTCCAGTTCTATAGGAAACTTAACACGCCTGACACATCATCAACTTACACTTAATCACAGCAAATACAGAACTTGCAGTCTAATCTAGAAAATCTGTAAACCTAGAAATGTGAATGATCTCGTGATTCCTGACAATGTCTTGCACTGATGTATAAAACTTGAGCATTGTGACCGTCAAGTCAATGTCAGCAATCAGTCTGATGGTGAATGAAGATGGCGTAGATATTGACAAGTTCAAATATAAATTAACAACAATGTCGAACTACATTACTGAACATTTACACAAACAAACAACAATATAACAATCACTCGATAACCACTAGTTCGTATTCATCCTGTGATGTTTACACAGGCAAACATGCATCCATTATCAATGTGTCCTCCCTTGCTTACCTCCCCGAGTTACCTCCCTTACCTTGAAAATGGCAGAAACAGAACTATCACAGGAAGTTAAAAAGTACATAAGTGCCACACATGAAATATTCTCTAACAACATTTTTTCACTTGTTCATGAACTGCAACTTCAGAAGACACAAAGTTGTACACTGACCATAAAGATTTACTCATATCCAGAAAACCTAGGTGGAAATATATCAATGCTTCAAACAGAGCAGCTCTTCTGCACTTCAAGACACGGAATTATTTCTTTGAAAGGAGGCAAACAAATTTTATTCCAAAGACGTTATATTTGTACATCAAACAAGTCTAATGAATTTTGCGTAATATTTTTTTTCATTTTCTTTAGAGTCAAATATTTAAAAATGTTTATGTTGTAACATTTGAGGTATTGAGGAAGCATTTTCAATAAATGAAAATTTATAGCACTGTCATTATAGTACATCAGAAATTATCATGGTACATCACAAATATGCCCACATACCATATTACAAACTCCACAGACAATATTTAGGCAACATGTACTGGAAGAATAACCCTGATCTCAGATGTCAGTGTTTCACTTGGGTTCTTTAGAAGTGACATCCTCGATAATCTCCAGGGTATACATTACGATAAATCTCTCCTACACTGGATACATCTACCGCTCGGCCTGATGATTTCATTAGCTCCCTTGGCTAACTTTTTATCCAATCAGGTGTCTACGCTCGGAAGTTGAGCGTACCAATCACAACTTGCTTTCGCTTCTTAATTTATCTGATTAAACTTGGCAACACAATTGATGCAGAGGTACTCTGAAAGAGGTAGGAGTTCTTGCATATATTTTTTCTAAAGTTTCAGACCTGTCAATTTATCTGTATGATTTCCCCCCAAATCTGAGACGTGCTGCGAATAAACCTTCGCGGCTGCAACCACTATCTTTGTTGACACTGGCAAGCTCGGTTGTAACGGCGGCTTAGCTGATTGGCTACTGGCTAAAATTATCGGGCAGAGTAATAGATGCATCCAGGGTATAGTGGAGATTTATTGTAATGTATACCATGGAGATTATCAAGGATGTAGAAGTGATAGTCAAGGACTTTTGGATATCAGCTTCACCTGAATTCAACTGAAGATGGTGTAAGAAGAAACTCTGAAACACGTTTAAAGAAGTAGCTATCAAAAGATCTTAGTCTGTAACCTCAACACAACAATGTTACAATATGATTATGTATGTATTCTTTATCAGCATTATAAGGCAGAGCATCAGTATTCACTTGTTTGTTTCAGTGACAAATAACTTAACACACATACAAAATCTGACTCACGTAACATGCCTTTGGCTTTAGTCCACACAAATGATAATAATCTAAATGTTAAGGATTAACTTTGCTATAAATGACAAAAAAAGTTTATTCTGGCAGATAGAATATCACCGCAGCTAAAAACAACATACACATCAAGTGCAATAACTGCTAACAATAGGGGTGGGTGATAACACCGGCTAACCGGTATATTGCAATTCAAACCTCACAATACGATATAGTGTGGTACACTCTTCGCGAACTGGTTCACCCAATACCATCGGCAATTTTCGTGATGTAGTAAAAAATGCTAAAAATATTTGTATTTCCTTCATATCATTATACATTAGTAGTTTTGATAAGTTTATTGGTCATATAATTGCATTTGTATGACTCTTAAACCATATGAATAAAAAAAAATAGAATTGGTACCGGCACTCGTTGTAGGGATAAACAAAACAAAATGGCGGACACCGCTGCATACGCTTTTTCTCCAGTTCCAACTTTAAAGCAAAGTCTTCAATTTGGAAACATTTTCAAACTGATCTCTTGTACAATCACATCTGAGTCCTGACAGTGGCCAGTGGCATTGTTTCAAAAGAAAGGAAACAGTAATTCATTACCTTAAACCATGTGTTACACTTTCACAATATATCGCAATGTGAACATTTTGGCAATACCCAAGTCTAGTTAACAACGACTAAATCCTGGTTCACTGAAATATTCTGGTACAGACAACACTGGTCTCATGACTGAATCAGCGAAGTTTCACAACAAACAATGACTGGTACAATATTGTATTTATCACACAGCTCAGAAGAGGCAGGCTGTGACCTTGCACATGCAGCAGAGCGCCATCAATAAGAAGATGCCGATGACTGCCACTAGGGCGAGGCCAGTCAGGTTCATCATGTCGGTCATGGGCGTCTTCCTTACCAACTGCTCTGCACCGCTATACTTGTGGGGACCTTGCTGCCGCCACTGGGAAGCCCCGCAGGAACTGAACAACAACCTACACAGACGAGGAAACGTTGTTACCATGGTTACAAGAAATAACTAATTCTCAACTAATTCTCTCTTTCACTCTCTACCTATATTCAACCATCATTCTCAGGTAACCACTTTATAACTTTAAACAACACTCACTCACTCACTCACTCAACCACCACTTTCACGTACTTATGATCACTCACTCATGTAACCCCAGCTGTCACTCACTCATGCAACCATCACTCTCACCCACCTCACTCACTCACCCACCACTTTTACATACTTATAATCACTCACTCACTCAAGTAACCCTCTTCTCACTCACTCAACCACCTCACTCACTCAGCCACCACTTTCACTTATTTATGATCACTCACTCATGTAACCCCAGCTCTCACTCACTCACTCACTCATGCAACCATCACTCTCACTCACTCAGCCACCACTTTCACTTATATGATCACTCACTCACTCAACCACCTCACTCACTCAGCCACTTTCACTCACTCAAGATCACTCACTCACATAACCCCTCCTCTCAGTCACTCACTCATGCAACCATCACTCACTCACTCACTCACCTCCATGCCAACAGGGGGTGCTTCCACAGCTCTGGCTTGGCACCGAAGAAGGAGGCAATCTCATCGTTGTAGGTGATAGGGTCCTTCTGGATGGTGTGTCGAGCTGTCTTGTACCACCTCTCGGCATACACCCTCTGAAACAAAGACCACGATTGACAATATACCACATCCAATATACCACAAAATGTCAGCTTGCTCACATTTCTGCTGACACATCAAAATTGATAATCAAGGCTGTGGGGGGGGCATGGTGGGCGAGCTGGCTAAAGCGCCAGGATAGTGATCCAGCGAGCATGAGGTGATGGGATCGAGCCCACCTGTGAACGGGATTAAAAACCTTGGAGTCAACTTTGTGTGCAGACTCTTTCAGTGTTGTCACAACCCCTAGTGTACTGTACACAACCCTGTGCACTTAAAAGAACCCACGAATCCATTGGTATATGACTAGATTGTGGCCACATGAATATGTTTTGGTGAAAGTCATTTGTGTTTACTGTGAAATAAACAAGAAAATGGGTGAGTTACTGCTACAAATTCTAAGCAGGGATTTTGGCTCGGAATCGAGAAATCACGATTTTTCGAGCTTCCGAAGATACTAGCTCCCAAAGTACTGCTTCGATTTTTGTGTTGTAAGTCTCAATTTGTAGGTAAATCTATTGGCTTGAAATGTGTGCAACTTTAAATGGGATAAATACAGTGAGTATTGTTGAATTTGCCCTGAAACGAACCTGGTGTGTTGACCTCGTTACATCCCTTTCCTTTTATGTAGTACTAAGACCCCGTCAGTGACAGTATATACCTTGATGGCAGTTTTAGCGTTACAAGCCCCTGTGATCAGGTGAACATATTCATGTTCGTCCAATTTCTAAATGCCTTACAAAAACTCCATAAAAAAGGTTTTAAATCTCTTTGTCTTGTTCCATCTGGAGGCTTTGACAGCAATACTATCTCCCTACAACTAATCATAAGTATTTTTGAATCTCTTTCCCTGTCTTGTGTCATGTCGAGGCTTTTAAGCAAGAGACTTTTTCGAATCTCTTTCCCTTTTTGTATCATCTCAAGGCTTTTTACAGCAATGCTATCTCCCTACAACTAATCACAAGAATTTTTCGAATCTCTTTCTCTGTCTTGTATCATCTCGAGGCTTTGACAGCAGTGCTACCTCAATACAACTTATCACAAGAATGTTCCAAACCTTTTCTCTGTTGATGTCTTGCTCCATCTCGAAGTTGGAAGGCAGTTTGACCCGCCCCTTGATCAACTCTGAGAACCAGCGAGCCTGTGTCTCAGACATTGTCAGCACGCCACCAGAAGCCGGCTGTACGAAGCCAATGAAAGCCAGAGACTTGCCGATGTCAGGGCTGAACACGTTCTTGTACAACTGGAATGCACAAAAATATGGTACACAAAGGAATGGACAAGATTTGGCTAAAACAAATTGTAATCAAACTGATGTATTTACTTTTGTATTGTAGGTTATTATATCAGCGATTCATGTATTGCAATACATACCACAATATTAGTGTATTCATTCTTTCAACTGGAATTTGTTATAAATCTGAACTGAAAATTATTTCTGTTTTTCTAATGAGTCATCGCAGCTCCCATCTTTACCCTGAAACTGATGCATTCAGTTCACCTTCATTTCGTTGCTGTTGTCGACAAGGACCTTGTCCTTCACACTGTCAGGGAGATAGGGAAGGTCGATGCTGTATCCTGTACAGTACAGGATCTTGTCAAACTCGGCAGACTCCCCGTTCACAAAATAAACTTTCTCACCTTCAATTCTCTGAAATTTGAGATCAGAAAGATGAATGGTGGACAGTTTGACATCCACACGGTGATAAAACTGATTTGGTTGGTTGGTTTGTTGTCTACCACCGCATTCAGCAATATTCCAGTTATATGGCGGTGGTTTGTAAATAATTAAGTCTGGACCAGACAATCCAGTGATCAACATCACGAGCATCGACCACCGCAATTGGGAACAAATGTCATGTGTCAACCAAGTCAGTGAGCCTGACCACCCGGATCCTGTTTGTCACCTCTTACGACAAGCATGGGTTAATGAGGACCAATTGTAACCTGGATCTTCACGGGTGATAAAACTGATTTAAAAGTTACCTCCTGTGCAACTGAATTTTCCTGTTCAACCACTACAACCCGAGCTACACAGTAACAACAAGTTGTGCCCTACCAGTATATTCGGAACCACAGTGATTTCCTTCCGCTGTATGTGATGTATCAGGGTGGGGCTCACTGTTGGCTGGGTCTGCAAAGCTCTCATCTTCGGGTTCAGGTTCCATCTTGAATACACACATTCAAAATATGATAGATAGAATTATTCCTCACAACTTTACAAGTCATGTAGTCAGTTTTCAGTGATGGCCAAGTCTGTTCTCAAAACAATGTCTTATTGCCAGGGTTGCTATTATGTCTTTCTTTCACATTGTCTGTTTGAATGACTGACTGAGTTTGGTTTTACGCCGCTTTTAGCAATATTCCAGCAACATCACGGCGGGGGACACCAGAAATGGGCTTCACACATTGTGCCCATGTGGGGATTCGAACCCGGGTCTTCGGCGTGACGAGCCAACGCTTTAACCATTAGGCTACCCCACCACCCCCTGTTTGAATGAGGCTTGATTAAGTGTCTGTTGAAGATTATTTCATATACATGCTGTGATGTAAGCAGTGTTGAACCCTTCCGTCTCTTAACTCCTGCAGATCAAGGAAATACTTGACTTGTGTTAGACACATCTAACTCAGATATACCACATGGCAATATAATTTATATTATGAGAAACTAAAATAGAAGCATTTGTCAAATTTATCTCTGACACCTTACTACATCCAGTAAGATTAAAAAAATGACATAGAAATTAACACCGACTTTACATGTTTTATCAAAAGTGAGTGAGTTTGATTTTACGCCGCTTTAGCAATATTCCAGCAACATCACGGCGGGGACACCGAAATGGACTTCACACATTTTACCCATGTGGGGAATCGAACACGGGCCTTCGGCGTGACGAGCGAACGCTTTACCCACTAGGCTTCCCCACCACCCCTGTTTTATCAAGAGCTTACCTCCTTGGGTTGCCAGAAACAAGCTTAATAACTGACTCCAGAATCGTGTTTGCCCATCTCCATGGCAACAAGAAAAAAGCTCTGCAGGCATAAAGATCTGTGGCATATCCGAAGATGTAGTTAGGGATGACCCAGCAGCCGGAGCGGGTGCTGACGTACACAGACTTACACCTGCAACACGTTAGGAACAGCTTCATAGGAGTGAGTTTTGGTTAATACCACAATCGGCTACAGTGTAGAGTCTACCAGCGGTCAGCACTTCTGGACAGCTGATGGTACTGGCAACATACTATTTGCAGAATCCCTAGTCAGGCTATACACAAACACGCATCTCAATGCCAGGCTCCACCCTCCAAATACATGGTCTTGATTCCAAACACAAGGATCTCAGTAGTCTGATGTCAAACACCATGATCTAAAAAGAAGATCTCACCTTCCACACACAGGGTTCTCAACACAAGATCTCACCTTAAACACAAGGTCTCGCCTGACACACAATCTTCTCGACACAATATCTCACTTTCCACACACAAGGATCTCAATGCGAGGTCTCACATCCCACACAAAAGGTTCTCAACAAAAGATTGACCTTCTGTAAAATACTAATGACATATGAACTCAACTTCGGCACAAGATCGCACCTCTCACACACAAGGATCTCAACACAAGACCTCACCTGCCACACACACCTTTCGCAGCACAAATTCTCACCTTCCACAAACAAGGATCTCAACAAGACATCTCACCTGCCACAAACAAGGATCTCAACAAGAGATCTCCCCTGCCACAAACGAGGATCTCAACAAGAGATCTCACCTGCCACAAACGAGGATCTCAACAAGAGATCTCACCTGACACACACAAGGATCTCAACAAGAGATCTCACCTGCCGCAAACAAGGATCTCAACAAGAGATCTCACCTGACACACACAAGGATCTCAACAAGAGATCTCACCTGCCACAAACAAGGATCTCAACAAGAGATCTCACCTGCCACACACAAGGATCTCAACAAGAGATCTCACCTGACACAAACAAGGATCTCAACAAGAGATCTCACCTGACACACAGATATATCTTAACACAAGGTCTAACCTCCAACATTCACATATCTCAACACAAGGTCTCACTTCCAACATTCACATATCTCAACACAAGGTCTAACCTCCAACATTCCCATATCTCAACACAAGGTCTCACTTCCAACATTCCCATATCTCAACACAAGGTCTCACTTCCAACATTCCCATATCTCAACACAAGGTCTCACTTCCAACATTCCCATATCTCAACACAAGGTCTCACTTCCAACATTCCCATATCTCAACACAAGGTCTCACTTCCAACATTCCCATATCTCAGCACAAGGTCTCAATTCCAACATTCCCATATCTCAACACAAATTCTCACATCCAACATTCCCATATCTCAGCACAAATTCTCACCTTCCTGCTGTGGCACAGTTGACAGCAGCATCCACAGCACTGTTGCCAATGCCGACGATGAGGACTCGTTTGCCAGTGAAGCCATTGCTGATGGCATCGTTGAAGTCGACACTGTGAATCCTTTCCCCTGGAACACCAGACACCTCACATTAACATCACTGTCCTTTGAAAACTATTCTGATATCATTACAAAAATGGAATACTGTAGTATTTTCTAAGATAGTTCGCTAAATGAACAAAGGCGCCACTTTTTGCATGACAGCACACTGTATTGACGACAATACGCCATTTTCGTCTGCCGCCTCGTTATCAAACTACCCTTGCAAGGGTAACCAACATCACGATGCATGTCAGTTGTCATCGTACAGTCTCCTATTGTACACTACTCCAGAAATGCAACATTCATATTGCCCTATATGGTTTACGTTAATCACAGATGCAATTAATATAAGTTAGAGAAGATATTTAACCCGAACATAAACTGTCATCAAACTGTTTATCATTTGTTTTTCTAGTAACATGCATCTAAACGTAGGGGGCAGACATGTCACTAGAACCTCACGTCAGTTAGCCCTGAACAAGAATTGTTACTTTAGGTCACCATAGGTTTTCTCTTTGTTGTCTGCCTTAGATTAAATTAAAGTATTATATTTGGCATCTTAGAAAAGAAATACAGTTCGCTGTACCCCCATGTATAGTGTAAAAAAGCACACTTTTGCCCTGAACTATTATAGTTAAAGTACGAGGACGCTTGCATCCGAGTCCTTTAACATCATAATAATTCAGGGCATTCTTAAACAGGATATGCTCACCTTTTTACAAACACCTGGTATATGACTATTTGATTAGCACATACTGAGCATAAGGTCAGAATCATACAATTAGATGATTAAGGAATGAATTTCGATACAATACTGAGTTCAGAATACTTACATACACTACTCTTACTCAAATGTTTTCATATCTGAATTACCAATATTCCAGCAGGGAACACCAGAAATGGGCTTCACACATTCGAAATGCTACACAGAACAATACATTATGACAAGGCCGGACACTTCGGTGTACCCTACCCGCCTGCTTTGCCGATCGCTACTCTACCATCGCATGTAATCGATTAAAACTTAATGTGAACATAATCATGGATGATTTGCCTATCGAGCACCAATCATGAAACCTACCAATTCTTTATTGTTATTTCTGTAAGTCGATTAAAACCCAATTTTGACTCTTAACTAAACGATCTTGACACAAATGGATGACGATATCTCCGCACAAAACGGAGCAAACCCTCTGATTGGTCAACGCTTGCAAATCTGCAATGCTTTATAAGTTCGCGGGATTCTTTTCTTTCATTGACTGCTTAATGTAAGAATATTTTTCGAGCAATGGCTTCTCAAAAGAAAGCATTAGTTGTAAATGTCTCCTAAACAAGGATCAACCAACCAGAGGGCTTGCTTTGACCACACACCTGTTTTCAGCAGACACATCGTCATCCATTTGTGTCAAGATCGTTTAGTTGGGGGTCAAAATCGGGTTTCAATCGACTTTCATTTTATTAATCACCTGGAAATGTTTCCTCCCCCTTGAACTTGCCCCACGTTGGCTTGGCATGATGTCCGCTTGCTACGGCCAGGTTGGGTGCAGTGTACACAGTCTTGATGTTTGTGTCCAGACCGGCCTTGCCGTCCTCCTCCACGGAACACGTCTCCACCACCCACTCATCACCTGCACACACCAGCAACACTCCATTAATGTACAAATTCAGTAAAACTAACCGCGTTTTACCCATGTACAAATGTGCGTCCAATATGCACAAATGTAGAGGATGGACGCAGACAAACAAAAACACTGCATCCTAAAAGACGCACAAAAATACTACATCCTAAAAGACGCACAAAAATACTGACAGCGTACCAAGAGAAGTTATGGGTAGTGTTGGGAATTGGTTGTAATCTCACAATTGATGACTGGTTCATCACAAATGAGCAATCATTGAAAAAAAATTGGTCAGCATAAGTTTTCAGATTTTCCTATTGTAGATAAGTAAAACATTGTTCTTTGTTGTTTTTTGGGTTACTTAGAAACTGTGCAAAATGGCATTTGCAAACTTCACATCCAATGTACAATGATGCAACTTGCTACTTCAAAGTGATGACTTACATATCATGAACATAAACTTCCTGGAGTCTTTCAGTGATATTCAGTCATGACTTTTCAGAAAGTGAGTGAGTGAGTGAGTGAGTTAGTTTTACACCGCACTCAGCAACATTCCAGCTATATGGCGGCGGTCTGTAAATAATCGAGTCTGGACCAGACAATCCAGTGATCAACAGCATGATTTTAGTAAGTGAAGTGAGTTTTCTAAGAATTAAACATGTTTTCAGGCACTGACAACTTCTAAGATATGTTCCATCTTCAAGTGTTTCAAACACAAAAAACGTAGTTCCAAAATCATTTGTGTTCAATTATGAGGAAATGTGATTGATAGCTTGGTCGTTTGGTCACATGCGACCAATCTTCGGTTATTTCAATTAATCGGATTACCACTAGTTATAGGTGTTTGTTATTTCACCCATCAATCATGACCATTGTCCAAACAATCACCGATTCATTCCTGGCTCTGAAGTAATTATCTAAACATACAGTACACCACACAATCAAGGTCACGGTAATACCCTGCTTCAGCAAACATTCTAGCTGTACTTCTGCTTCAGCAAACATTCTAGCTATACTTCTGCTTCAGCAAACATTCTAGCTGTACTTCTGCTTCAGCAAACATTCTAGCTATACTTCTGCTTCAGCAAACATTCTAGCTGTACTTCTGCTTCAGCAAACATTCTGGCTATACTTCTGCTTCAGTAAACATTCTAGCTATACCTCTGCTTCAGCAAACATTCTAGCTATACTTCTGCTTCAGCAAACATTCTAGCTGTACTTCTGCTTCAGCAAACATTCTAGCTATACTTCTGCTTCAGCAAACATTCTGGCTATACTTCTGCTTCAGCAAACATTCTAGCTATACTCTGCTTCAGCAAACATTCTAGCTATACTTGCTTCAGCAAACATTCTAGCTATACTTCTGCTTCAGCAAACATTCTGGCTATACTTCTGCTTCAGCAAACATTCTGGCTATACTTCTGCTTCAGCAAACATTCTGGCTATACTTCTGCTTCAGCAAACATTCTAGCTATACTTCTGCTTCAGCAAACATTCTGGCTATACTTCTGCTTCAGCAAACATTCTAGCTTATTCTAGCTACTTCTGCTTCAGCAAACATTCTAGCTATATTTCTGCTTCAGCAAACATTCTGGCTGTATTGCTTCAGCAAACATTCTGGCTATACTTCTGCTTCAGCAAACATTCTAGCTATACTTCTGCTTCAGCAAACATTCTAGCTATACTTCTGCTTCAGCAAACATTCTGGCTATACTTCTGCTTCAGCAAACATTCTAGCTGTACTTCTGCTTCAGCAAACATTCTGGCTATACTTCTGCTTCAGCAAACATTCTAGCTATACTTCTGCTTCAGCAAACATTCTGGCTATACTTCTGCTTCAGCAAACATTCTAGCTGTACTTCTGCTTCAGCAAACATTCTAGCTGTACTTCTGCTTCAGCAAACATTCTGGCTATACTTCTGCTTCAGCAAACATTCTGGCTATACTTTTGCTTCAGCAAACATTCTGGCTATACTTCTGCTTCAGCAAACATTCTAGCTATACTTCTGCTTCAGCAAACATTCTGGCTATACTTCTGCTTCAGCAAACATTCTAGCTGTACTTCTGCTTCAGCAAACATTCTAGCTGTACTTCTGCTTCAGCAAACATTCTGGCTATACTTCTGCTTCAGCAAACATTCTGGCTATACTTTTGCTTCAGCAAACATTCTGGCTATACTTCTGCTTCAGCAAACATTCTAGCTATACTTCTGCTTCAGCAAACATTCTAGCTATACTTCTGCTTCAGCAAACATACTGGCTATACTTCTGCTTCAGCAAACATTCTAGCTGTACTTCTGCTTCAGCAAACATTCTGGCTATACTTCTGCTTCAGCAAACATTCTAGCTATACTTCTGCTTCAGCAAACATTCTAGCTATACTTCTGCTTCACCAGTGAGAACCAATTCATTGTTAAGTACTGATTCATCAATACAGGTATCTTACCCAATATAATGTCACACTGAAAAGTGTTATGTATCCTGCTTTGGAGGGAAATGTATTTCTGAGCAAGACAATAAGTACCTTAAACCTCCAAGATATTTTTCTCCATGTCAGAATTTTGAGATCTGATTAGTTCACATGACCTTGAAGAAAAACAATGTATTCCACCTCAGTGGAAAATAATTTACAAGTGGGAAAATACATCCATTAAAAAAACAACCAACAACACATCCTGCATGTCGATGTCTGAGTGGGAGATATAGCCTGTATACCCCCTTACTCAGCAGGGTCATTGTTTTTTAATGCCGCACTCAGCAAAACTCCAGCTATGGAGGATACAAAGCAGAAACATACCTTAAAATAGCATGGAGATTTGCTCACAATAAGAGCTGTGTTCAGACTCAATTATTTGCATGACTGACTGACTGAGTTTGGTTTTACGCCGCTTTTAGCAATATTCCAGCAACATCACGGCGGGGGACACCAGAAATGGGCTTCACACAATGTACCCATGTGGGGATTCGAACCCGGGTTTCGGCGTGACGAGCCAACGCTTTAAGCATTAGGCTACCCCACCGCTTCTTATTTGCATGATGACATACCTGAAATAGTGTTCAGTATAAAACAAGCACTCACTCACACTCACTCACTCACAAAACACTAGATCATACCTTTCTTTTCGACAGACAGGACCTTTGTGTTAAACTGGATGTTGTCCTCCAGCTTGAAGTGGGTAGTGTAGTCGGCGATGTACTTGGCCATGTCGATGTTGTGGGGGTAGTCCGGGACATCATCGGGGAAGGGGAAGTCGGAGAAGCTGTAGTTGTACTTGGATACATTGCTGCAACAACAACACCACAGGTGTCATGGATGCTGAGTGGAACATCAGCCCAACAGGTACACATCTAGAGCATTCAATATGTGCACTGGGAGTCTGGCTTAAAAGGGAGACAACTCCAGCCCTAAGGATGTTCACTTGGAACAAGGCAACACTTCGAGTCTCAAAATGTTTGCTTGGACACTGCTCAATAAAAATCACCACCACATTTGTAATTATTAATCTCATAAATATTTCACGGAATTCATCCCACACTATACGTCTCATCTTTTTTCTCTCTTCTTTTTCAATTTCTCCTATTTGGCAAACAGACCAAGAACGGGTCAAACATTCTCAGTGAGTGAGGGAACGAGAATGCTTTTACTCTGCTTTAAGTAATTTTCTAGCAATATCATGATTGGGAACACCAGAAATGGGCTTCACACACAGTACCCATGTTGGGAATCAAAGGCAGGTCTTCGGCGTTAACCACCATTCTCAACTTAGCAGGGTGAAAATACATGCTTCAAGAACCTGTTCCACAAGGGACCTCAACATGATGTATTAGTAAATACCATACTACAATACTGAAATACAAGGATCATTGTGCTTCCTGGAACAGTGCACAGTCAATAAGTTTCTTGGCAGTAACCATGGTAACATGTATTCACTTTAGTCCTTGAGTATTATTATATACTTTGCATTTCATTAATCATCACCTTAAGGAGTGAATGAGTGAGATAAGTTTTACGCCGCTTTTAGCAATATTCCAACAGTATCACGGCAGGGACACCATAAATGGGCTTCACACATAGTACATACATATTTACTACGTATTTTATTTCACGATGGTGACTTTTCTCTTAAATCTGTAAAGCTGCCAAGAAAATATTGCTTTACAAAGGACTGCTGAAGGATTAATTCAACCAAGGTCTAAATGAAGAAAAAAATTCAGCTCAGGGGTGTGACGAACCCTCATGCGCGCCAAGGGTACCGCTGACAAGAAATCTATCTTTCGACATTCATTCATGCAGGTCTGGAATATAGCAAGCTAACAAAACTCACAGCAGACGACACAAAGAGTTACTTCCCTTCATCCAATTTGGGTAAACATTGGTTCATTTCTTAAACTCAACAATATTTATTCAAGAATAACTCATTGCCTTAGATATGTTCTGACTGATTTCTCTGTGGGCTATTTGAAATGGCTACATCAAAAATAACTGCGCATTCCTTCAAGAATCCAAACTTAATGTTTGAGATAAGGTAAATTTTCAGGCAAGATAAAGACACTTGTGTACATTGTGTATGATAACAGGTATACCAAGGCATGTTGGGAGGGGCGATATCTACATGAACCACTGCAGAAGTTGAGGTCAGTAACTGTGTCTATATAGACAGACGTATTATCAGCTTACACAAGGCGTGGTACATGTACGTGCAATTCAACATGGTGTTCAGGAATACGATTTTCCCTATATTCACATAGTATTTGGAAAATCGGCATTATTACTGGGTTAAATCACAGACATTAATTGGATGGTCAGAGGTCCTTGAAGTTTTCTTCTGAAATTTTAATGAAGGGTTCATTAATGTCTGCTGCTTGATGACTGTGCAATATTTAACTTTCACTCCCTCACTTTAAAAACTTATAACAGTTGGTGTAATGACGAAAGGAACTTAATGACACAGATGATCAAATAGTTATATATCTACCCAGTAGGAATGAAATATTTCTTTCATCCACCTTTTAAGTGTGTGAGTGAGTAATTTTACAATGCTTTTTACAAGTGTATATTTAGTCAGAAGGGGAGATAACCCTGCATGAGGCAAAACAGTAGTGAAACATAATTAGCAACTGGTGGACGGACATTCCACTTGAAAAAGCATTTTGTTTTCTTCGAAATGTGTTAAAATAACATTCTGAATAACTTTAATCATTCTGTTTGTTATGGTTCAGTAAAGTTTGTTTGTTGTTTAACGATTTCCTTGGGGAAAGACCGAGGCAAACCTGCACAGAAATCATAAAGATCTTACGGAGATCGTACAGAGACCTCATGGAGGCCGCAAGATGATCGTGCAGTAGCTGTGCGATGGATATGTGGGTATCCCACGATCCCATAGTTAAAAGAAATTGTGCGTTTACCACACGATCATTCTGTGAGATGCCCATGCAGTGCCTGTGCAATGCCGGCTACTGGCTTACGAGAATTTTTTCAAATTTGACAAACCTCGCTGTTTGACAAAATCATAGAGGCTACAGTGCCCGTAGAATTGTGTGATAATCGTACGGCCGCCGCCACCTGCCACCGCACAGAGATGATGAAGCTACGGGCAGTTTACGGGCGCTGTAGACCCATCGCAGGCCAAATGTGAACCAGGCATAACCTTGATCATCACAGGTCTTCAGTTAAGTACCAGGTGACATAGACTTTATGGGCAATGGTACGGAACATTCATATATTTCAACAAATGTCTGTGACCTTTCGATCGCCTCCGTGGTGTAGTGGTTAGAGCGTCCGCCCGGAGAGTGGAAGGTCGCGGGTTCGATCCCCGACCGCGTCATACCAAAAGATGTTAAAATATGGTACTTGTTGGTCCCTGCCTGGCATTCGGCATTAATGGGTACAACAAGGACTGGTCGGCTCGGAGTCAGTATGTGTCTGAGTGGGGTATTCATGCTTCACTGCGGCGTGGTATCTCAGTGGGCTAGCACTATAAAACCAGCTTAACTCTGGGCTAGTACAAGCAGCCGCACATACACATAGACACGCGTGCACGTCGTGATATGAGCGAAATATTCTCAAGTACACCGTTAAACCCAATTTCACCTCACCTCACCTGTGACCCTTCAGTTTTGGTACATGCACTTTACAAATTCCCTTTTTGTTGTCAGTTGTCCAGTTATATATTTAACAACCTAAATTCATAAAAAATTGCTGAAAAACGTTTTTGCAACAATGACAGTGAGACACGGTGTGTACATGTGGAATGCTGCCTCACCTGGACCTGCCTTCAACAGGTGACCTCAACCTGCAACACAGTACATGTCTTCTGAATGTGTCTGGGTTGAGATAACATTCTGAATAACTGTAATTAATTTAAATTTAAATTTGAATTACCATTGTAATTTTCTGGACTTATGAGTTTTGCATTTCTGGATTATTTGTAAAACAAGCCAAACATCATACTTAATCTAGTTTATCTCACAATTCCTGATAAGGACATCGTTCTTCAGTTTTATTTTTTTTAAACCTTAAATTGTTGCTATCACGGGCCAGTTTGTTACAAGACATGGAGCAGTATGTGGCCTGAATAAGGTACAATCTTCATTTACTGGGGAGATATGTTAACCAGATTCAGACTGTAGTCTCGTTGCGGTGCCCGTGAAGATCCGGGTCAGAATTGATCTTCAGCAACCCATGCTTGTCTCTACCCGTGAAGATCCGGGTCAGAATTGATCTTCAGCAACCCATGCTTGTCTCTACCCATGAAGATCCGGGTTAGAACAGATCTTCAGCAACCCATGCTTGTCTCTACCCGTGTAGATCCGGGTTAGAATTGATCTTCAGCAACCCATGTTTGTCTCTACCCGTGAAGATCCGGGTCAGAATTGACTTTCAGCAACCCATGCTTGTCTCGTGGAGATATCAATGAAGACAGTATGTTTTACCCCAGTGTTCATGAGAATGTCAAGGCTGGTATTTTTAATAAATTGAATAATGAATCAAATTTCTAAGTACAACCAATTCAAATCATACTAATTTTGTTTCATGCTGCTTTGACATTTAAGGAGGGTCAGGAACAAAAACCCCAAATAAGGAAGTCCTTCAGCACTTACCACTTACTAATGAAACTCCATATCATGACGAGAAACATCCTGGACCCATCGTGTTAGTCTGATATTCACGTTTCATGGGGAAGTATACACTATCTTGCATGAATCATAATGTTTGTTTGTTTGTTAAAGCAAGATTGCAGCTATATGGCAGCAGTCTGTAAATAATCAAGTCAGGACCAGACAATCCAGTGATCAACATCATGAGCCTCAATCTACATAATTGGCAACCAAGTCTGTGAGTCTGACCAACCTTATTTGGAAATCTGGAAAAGGTAATTGGGCTTGTAAACAATAATAATGAGTCCATTTGTAAAGTTTCTCTTCAAAATCTGTACACCATGATAAAATGCGCTAAACTCCATTTAACGCCAGAAGGTATGCTCATGCACCTGTACACTAGCTGCTACAAATTGGACTTGTTCACTAGTAGAGTAGTTTACTTTCTTGAAAATCAGGGTCTTTAGATCTGACTTAACAAATCTATTTCCTTTCTGAGATACTTACTGGTGTCATAAAATTATAGTAAAAGTTTTATATCAAATTATATCTAAAAATAACTTTTGTAAGTTATTCTGTTCCAGGACTAGATAATGCCTGACCAGGGTTTGACCAAAACGTAGCCTTTGCTTTTTCAAATTTTCTGATGTTGAAATAACTTTAATGAGTTATGATACTAGCAATCACTTTCAGAATTATCTTATTAGTAAATGTAGTATTTAAAAAAACATCTAAAAGCAGGAGCCAAGAAACTAAGTTAATACCAAGTGATTGTCCTGCCATGATATGTATGGTGTTTGTTTGCCTAGTTCTGCCTTAAAATCTAACAAATCTGATATGTCAATCAATTAAATAATTATTTATTATTGATTAGATTATTATTAATTTTATTACCCTTCCACGTTTACTAAAAAAAGCAAGATTCTTAAAACATACCTTGATATCATTTCTAGTGAATTAATCAAAAATACAGTTGTAATATTACTCCTAAAATGTACAATTATATGTGAATAATTTATGTGGTAACAAAACTTCAAATAATGTTCTCATAATTAAGATATACACTTTATTTCACCGGCCCAATACTCCAGAAAGTCACTATTCTTCTCACATAGTTTTCATATTCGATCAACCTGGAGGAAGGTAATTCAGTTCAAAGTCCCACGCAAATCTTTATAAAAATCTG